CAGTTTTGTATGATTAAAATTCAGTGACCACCGCTTGGAAACACCGGCGCCTCATTCGGAAGTCATGCTGTGTCCGAATCGTCGCTTGTCATTTCTCGATTTTCCGTTTTTCGTTTTATTTTTTTCCCAGTCTCTCTCTCTTTCTCTGTCTTTCTTTCTTTCTCTTTCTTATCTTTCTCTTTCTTTCTTTCTCTTTCTTTCTCTCTCTCTTTCCCTCTCTCTCTCTCTCTCGTCTCCTCTTTCTCTCTCTCTCGTCTCTCTCTTCTTCTCCTCTCTCTCTCTCTCTCTCTCTCTCTCAATACTTTTCTCTCCTCTTGCTTATTCTCTCATCATCTCTCTCTCTCTCTCTCTCTCTTTCTCTCTCTCTCTCCTCTATCTATCTATCTATCTATCTATTTATCTATCTATCTGTCTTATTATTATGATTTATGTTTTTTCTAAATTCGTCTATTTCTTTTCTTTTCTCATTTCGTTTACTTGCTTATTTTTTTCGCCCTTTCGTTTCTTCTGAGTTTTAGCGTCTGTCTGTTTAACTTAATTCTGTGATTTTCTTGTGCTGCTCAACGCTCTCGGATATGTTGAATGTACAATGTGTTCATGGCGTGCGTGCCAATGTGAATGTGTGGGTGTATGTGTGCATCTATCTATTCTGTCTAATCTATCTATCTATCTACAAACAACACACACACCCCACCAACACACACCCACACACACACACCACACCACCCCACATATATATATATATATAATATATATATATATATATATATTAGATTATATATAATGTAGATAATATATATATATATATCTAGATAACACTTAGTCTCCGTGCCATTCACAATCCCCATTACATCAACCCCCCCCCCCCCATCAGCCAACGCCAGCAACTTCGTCATCTTCTCTGGAAGGGCTCTCCCCCCCTCTCTGCCATTCTCCTTTCCTTCACTTCTCCACTTTAGCTGTGCACATTATACTCTTCATTTGCTGTTGCTTCACTTCATCTCTCTCTCTCATCTCGTCCTCCACTCTCACTCTCTCTCTCTCTCTCTCTCTCCTCTCACTGTCTCTCCTCTCTCTCCTCTCTCTCTCTATCTCTCTCTCTCTTCTCTTCTCTCTTCTCTTCTCTCTCTCTCTCTTCTCTCATTCTATCTGTCTATCTATCTATCTTTCATTCTTTTTCTCTCTCCATTGTTTATTCTCATGTTATTTCTTTCAGTATTCGCGTTTCTCTCTCCCTCTCTTTTTCAAAATTATTCTTTTACCCTCTTCCTCTCCCCTCCTTCTATCTAGCCTTCTATCTAGCCTTCTCTCTTTATCTTTCTCTCTCCGGATTCCCATCTTCTCTAACCCCCCCCCCATTTCCGCACAATCTATGCTTCCTTCCTCCCTTTGTTCTTTCCTCCCTTTCTCTCTTCTTAACCCCCCCCCCTTTCTCTCTATCTCTCTCTCTCTCCCTCTCCTCCTCTCCCCATCCTTCCACCTCCTTTCCTTCTACCTTCCTCCTCTTCGTTCCTCTTCCTCCTTTTCCCTTCTCCTTTCCTCCTCTCTCTCTATCACTCCTCCCCTCCCCTCCTTCTCCTCTCCATCGCCCCACCTTTCCATCCTTCCTCTCTCCTCCTCTCCATCCCTCTCCATCCTTTTTCAGCTCTCTTCCTCTTCTCCCTTCTCCTCTCCCTCTTACTCTCCATCCCTCCTCTCTCCTCCCCATTCTCCACCTTTACTTTCGTCACCCCTCCCCCCTTCTCTCCTTTCCTCTCTCCCCCCTCCCCCTCCCCCTCGTCTCTCCCTCCATGCCTCCCCCTCGCCCTCTCCCCGTCTCTCCATCCCTCCCCCTCCTCCCTCTCCGTCTCTCCATCCTCCCCCTTCCCTCTCCGTCTCTCCATCCCTCCCTCTCTACCTCTCCGTCTCTCCACCCTCCCCATCACCCTCTCCGTCTCTACCTCCATGTCTCCCCTCTCCCTCCCCCTTCTCCGTCTCCTCCTTCCCTCCCCCTCTCCCTCTCTCTTCTCCCCCACCCCTTCTCCCACCCCTCTTACTCCTTCTCTCTCCCTCTCACTCTCATCCCTCCCCCTTCTCCGTCTCTCCATCTCCCCCCTCTCCTCTCCCCGTCCTCTTCCTCCATGCCTTCCTTTCCCCCTCTCCCTCTCCTCTCCATCCTCCCCCTCTCCCTCTCCGTCTCTCATCCCTCCCCCTCTCCTCCCGTCTCTCTCATCCCTCCCCTCGTACTCTCCCTCTCCGTCTCTCCATCCCTCCCCCTCCCCCTCTCCGTCTCTCCCTCCATGTCCTCCCCCTCTCCTCCCCCTTCTCCGTCTCCCTTCCCTCCCCCTCTCAACCGTCTCCTCTCTCCATCCCCCCCTTCTCCCACGCCCTCTCCTTCCTTCCTCTCTCCCTCTCCCTCTCCATCCCTCCCCCTTCTCCGTCTCTCCATCTCTCCCCCTCTCCCTCTCCCTCTCTTCCTCCATGCCTCCCTTTCCCTCTCCCTCTCCTCTCCTCCTCCCCCTCCCCCTCTCCTCTCTCCATCCTCCCTTCTCTCCCTCCTCCGTATCTCCTTCCCTCCCCCTCTCCTCTCTCCATCCCTCCTTACCCTCCCCCCTCTCCCTCTCCACTCGCATCCCTCCCCCTCCCTCTACATCCCTCTTCCCTCCCTCTCTCC